TAAATAAATAAATAAAATCATAAGTTTTAAGTTTTGGCTCGTGCAGATAGTGACGTGTCTGGGGGACAACAGGTGTCACAAAGCAGCTTTACAGAAAAATCCGGGTCCGAGACCCTATGAGTGTCGCCAATGGTGACAGTGGCAGTGGAAAAACTCCCAGAGAGGCTGAATTCTCTGTAAAAAGGTAAATCTGCTCCACTTTAAACAATAACTACATTATGTTAAAAATATAAACTGTCTGTTTTAATATTCATATTTCCGGTTCACTGAGAGTAACAGTGATGTTCACTGAGTGTAACAGTGGTGTTCACTGAGAGTAACAGTGGTTTTCACTAGAGTAACAGTGGTGTTCACTGAGCGTAACAGTGATGTTCACTGAGAGTAACAGTGGTGTTCACTGAGAGTAACAGTGGTGTTCACTGAGCGTAACAGTGATGTTCACTGAGAGTAACAGTGGTGTTCACTGAGCGTAACAGTGATGTTCACTGAGAGTAACAGTGGTGTTCACTGAGCGTAACAGTGGTGTTCACTGAGAGTAACAGTGGTTTTCACTAGAGTAACAGTGGTGTTCACTGAGCGTAACAGTGATGTTCACTGAGAGTAACAGTGGTGTTCACTGAGCGTAACAGTGATGTTCACTGAGAGTAACAGTGGTGTTCACTGAGCGTAACAGTGATGTTCACTGAGAGTAACAGTGGTTTTCACTAGAGTAACAGTGCTGTTCACTGAGAGTAACAGTGGTGTTCAGTGAGAGTAACAGTGGTTTTCACTAGAGTAACAGTGCTGTTCACTGAGAGTAACAGTGGTGTTCAGTGAGAGTAACAGTGGTTTTCACTAGAGTAACAGTGCTGTTCACTGAGAGTAACAGTGGTGTTCACTGAGCGTAACAGTGATGTTCACTGAGAGTAACAGTGGTTTTCACTAGAGTAACAGTGCTGTTCACTGAGAGTAACAGTGGTGTTCAGTGAGAGTAACAGTGGTTTTCACTAGAGTAACAGTGCTGTTCACTGAGAGTAACAGTGGTGTTCACTGAGCGTAACAGTGATGTTCACTGAGAGTAACAGTGGTTTTCACTAGAGTAACAGTGCTGTTCACTGAGAGTAACAGTGGTGTTCAGTGAGAGTAACAGTGGTTTTCACTAGAGTAACAGTGCTGTTCACTGAGAGTAACAGTGGTGTTCAGTGAGAGTAACAGTGGTTTTCACTAGAGTAACAGTGCTGTTCACTGAGAGTAACAGTGCTGTTCACTGAGCGTAACAGTGATGTTCACTGAGAGTAACAGTGGTTTTCACTAGAGTAACAGTGCTGTTCACTGAGAGTAACAGTGGTGTTCAGTGAGAGTAACAGTGGTTTTCACTAGAGTAACAGTGCTGTTCACTGAGAGTAACAGTGGTGTTCACTGAGCGTAACAGTGATGTTCACTGAGAGTAACAGTGGTTTTCACTAGAGTAACAGTGCTGTTCACTGAGAGTAACAGTGGTGTTCAGTGAGAGTAACAGTGGTTTTCACTAGAGTAACAGTGCTGTTCACTGAGAGTAACAGTGGTGTTCAGTGAGAGTAACAGTGGTTTTCACTAGAGTAACAGTGCTGTTCACTAAGAGTAACAGTGCTGTTCACTGAGCGTAACAGTGATGTTCACTGAGAGTAACAGTGGTTTTCACTAGAGTAACAGTGCTGTTCACTGAGAGTAACAGTGGTGTTCAGTGAGAGTAACAGTGGTTTTCACTAGAGTAACAGTGCTGTTCACTGAGAGTAACAGTGGTGTTCACTGAGCGTAACAGTGATGTTCACTGAGAGTAACAGTGGTTTTCACTAGAGTAACAGTGCTGTTCACTGAGAGTAACAGTGGTGTTCAGTGAGAGTAACAGTGGTTTTCACTAGAGTAACAGTGCTGTTCACTGAGAGTAACAGTGGTGTTCAGTGAGAGTAACAGTGGTTTTCACTAGAGTAACAGTGCTGTTCACTGAGAGTAACAGTGGTGTTCACTGAGTGTAACAGTGATGTGAGGACTTTAAGAGCGGCTTTACTGAAGAAGCTTTTTTACTTTCTGTTTCAGTTTCTTGTTTTGTTTGTTTTATGGTTTAGTTCATCACAGCTGATCAGCAAAGCTGAATCTTTATGCTAAATAAAAAGTAACTGATCATTTTAGAGGTTAATTAAAACTCTGAGTGATGATCTGTCAGAGTATTCAGCTCTACAGTGAACTGATCTGAGCCCAGTTCTTTACAGGCCCAGCCAGTGTCCTCCCATCTGTCCAGTACAGAGAGGAGAAGGAAAAGGGTTTAATCTTCTAAATCACATTTCCACCAGGTGCATGATGGGAAATACTCTAAAAATGTAGTTGCAGTCCTGCAGATATTGACCCTGCAGGATCCCCAGACTCTGAAAAATCACAGTGTGTGGCTGAAACTCTGTGACAGTGTGTTTAGATGTGTGTCTGTCAGTCTTTAAAGTGTTTTCAGAGTTTCTGCTGTACAGTCAGTATAAGATGCTGTTATGGACGTTATCAGTGCTGCTCATGCTGTCTGTGTGATGCTGTGCTGGACTGTGGGCTGGTTAGTGGGTTATGTTCCTGACCATGAACTCAGAGTGTGTGTCTGGTAGTGACCGGCTCTGCTTCCACACTGTTCAGTAGCTCTAACAGTGGTTCTCCACTGCTGCTGTGTCCAATAACAGAGCATTCACTTACAGTGCTGGGCTTCCCGCGTCTCCTTCTGTGTCCAGACGTCTCAGTATGTTTCAGTTTCATATTGATAAGAGGTTCTCTAAGTATATATAGGTGTATCATTTGATCTGGGCTTCTAAAGTAGTGACTGTAAGCAGAGCATCAGTAAAATAAACAGGTTGTGAATGAGTGTTCATGTGCAGTAGCGCTGTTCAGCCAGCAGAGGGAGTAAGAGGACTGCAGAGCAGCATGGAAGCGTTAGAGGAAAAGATCTTGTCATGATTTAAAGATCAGAGAACTTTAGAACCCAATATTGTGAAATATGGTAAAGAAATAGATCTGCATGTATTTTATATATGTGAGATACGTTTCACAGATATTGTTTCATTCCAAAATGTCTGAAGCTCATTAAGCAGAAATATGTTTTTTGGCCGTTTTCACACATTTTCAAATGTATAAATACACTTTACATGTATGTCTTTATGGGATATAATCATCCCAGAAATGTACCTAAATACTGTACCTAACTCAGTCAAAAATGTAATAAAATCCAGTAATGTTTTCCATAATGGAATAGAATGTCTTGATGATACTTTATGGTAATTTCATTAATAAATCATTAACTAACCATTATTAGTATGAACAGATCATTAATCTATCAGAGTTTGAACCTTTACAGTTGTTTACGGATGATAGTCCACATAGTTGTTGATGTGTGTATTTATATTTATAAATGACAGTTTGCAGTCATATGCAAAAGTTTGTGCGCCCCTGGTCAAATTCCATGTTGTAAATAAGTTACACATCATCTACAGAGGGAAAAATTTAAATATAAAATGTGGTCTGGGCAAAACTAATACAGGTTTTTAAATGTTTTTTCCCCAATATGTTTTTATTAAAATGGTCAATCTCATAAAGCTTATGTTTATAAGTTCATCACTGAGGTTTTTGTCAGGGGAAGCAGAATTTGGCAATGCTATTATACTATTTCAACACCTTAGAGTACATGTAGAAACATACATGCTGTTTTGATGCTTTGCTTTTGTTTGATAATGCTGTTGTATTTTTTTTAGAATGACTATATAATAGAAGATGGCCTGTTTTCTCAGCCACTGCTTGTGCAAGATAAACAATGTTCAGATTAAAATATTTCACATATATTAAATATTTCCAGTCACTGTCAAAGTCAGTCTTTACATCAATGCAAAACTAGGATATGCAAATGATGACAGCTGTCATTAGCATGCAGCTTAATACCTGTACCAAAAAATAATCATGTGCTGGTGTGACCAACTGAGACAGTTAGTAGCACTAGTGTGACCACTGGAGAAGTTAGTCTGAAGCCCTGTCCAGTTTATTGGCAGCTTATATAAACATATTAATGACTGAGAAACTCAATAAGTCATAGAAGTTCAACTGGAACACAACCAGAGGGCTCACAGCGCCCCCTTCTGAAGGTGCAGGGAAAAATTCAGTGGGCTGAGTTGGTGACTCAGTTTATAGTTTATAAGTTCAAACTGAAGGCCGGTCTCTATTATTCACAGTTTGCACAGTTTTAAATTTTCAGACAGAGGTAAAATATCTATTTGACAAAATGATCAGTATAATATAATACAGTATAATCAGTAAAATAAATACCTTCTCAAAATGTAATGATTTATTAACTGTGCTCAACTCTGAAAATGTAATAAATTACCAATAATGTAATTCAGTTTTACATCATCATAAAAACATTCTTACGTTATGAGTTGAAATAGTTGTTATCACTTGTAGCTATTCTATAGTCTTATTATATCAGCTATTATATTATTGCGGTTGATTTCATTTTTGGAATCGTGCAAATTTTACTACATTTCTGCTTTTCATTGTGTGGTAAATCATTACATTATTATGTTGTGCGAAGAGAAACAACATTTTTTCTTTTAGCCACCTTACAATAAGACAAACCCTTATAAAGTTATTTAAACGTGTAAAATGGGCATCAGTGAGCTGTTCTGTCTGATGACTATGTGATAAAGCTGTATCAGGTTTAGTGCTGAGAGTTTCAGCAGTATGAATGAATGTGGGCTCACTATCTGCAGGCAACAGGTCATTGTTGCCTTTCTTATATATGTGTTATAATCGCTTATGAATGAGCTTTAAGGTGTTTGTTTCCTTAGTATTAACCTTTAATAAACTAATGTAAAACCATTCAAGTCTTACTGAGGTCTTATTGTAAAGTCTTAAATTTGTAAAGTACCGTGTTGTGAATGACATGATGTGATGAATCACGTTTAATATCAATACATATTTTACACTATTTTGATTGTAAGTTGACTTTCACATCCTGCTTATAGGTTCCATGATGGACCCTCCTGAATTCAGCAATGGAGAACCCAGCTGTGGGGCTGTGAAGAGTGACTGGTCTGTGCGGGAACCTCCTGAATTCAGCAAAAAACGAAAACGCAGCTGTGTGTCTATGAAGAGTGACTGGTCTATGGAGGAACATCCTGGATTCAGCAGAGGAGGAGGAGAACCCAGCAGTGTGTCTATGAAGAGTGATCGGTCTATGAGGGAACCTCCTGAATTCAGCAGAGGAGGAGGAGAACCCAGCAGTGTGTCTATGAAGAGTGATCGGTCTATGAGGGAACCTCCTGAATTCAGCAGAGGAGGAGGAGAACCCAGCAGTGTGTCTGTGGACCCAGAGTGAGTGCAAAGGATGAGTTCCTGACTTACGATTATCAGTAGCAAATAAACCAGTTTATAAAAATAAACTCAAGAAGGCTTAAAATATTGATGTTTTGCCTGCCGACTGTTACACAGTTTACTCATGAAAGAAAAGTGAACATCTTAAATTATCTAACAATGCTTTGTAACGAACTTCTCTGAAAAAGGGTCTGATTACTTTATCTGAAGGGGACTCTTATCTAGCAGCTTGTAACTTTGCACGGAATGGAATCACAGCTTTATACAGTGTGCACAACGTATGTATTTACACCCGTAATATATACAAAACACACAAATAGGCATCATCCAGTGTTACATTCATGAACTCTTTGAGTAAGAACTGTCCACTGAGAACTGTCCACTGTCTGAGTCTGAATCAGGGTTTTAGTCTCTGCTTGAAAGGAAACAAAGGACTGATCTCACCCAGTGAGCAGCTTGAGTCCCAAAGGTGTTGCTACAGCTTCAGATGATCAATTGCAGTCGGTGCAAAGTGGTTACATGATCCTAGTCCTTAAGGCCCATGTAGAGGTCCAACATCAAAGGAGATCGAGCGTTTGGTCAGCGACCCTCCATTCCATTGTCCGCAATCCATCCCATAACAGTTCAAAAAGGTAGATAAAAATAAAGTCCTTCTACAACACAGCAAAACACCATCAATGCTCTCATCAAACTAATGATCAAACATCAAATCTTATCAAAATATCACACTTTTCAATAACCACATTTTCATTTGTATTAATGTCCTTTTGTACTGACATTGAGCATAAAACCTTTGGTTTGACAATATAAGGACTAAACAAACAAACAAACAGCAGCAGCAGCAGCCCCACTTCACTTACCATACAAAATACCATAGAGTCATGACTCAAGGTCGCCCTCTGTGGCGAGAGTCCACCATTACGCAAAGAGATACTCAATGGAACTCAATGGAGCCTATGTAACCATGGACAATGGCTACAGCCTTTGTATATTTTGTGTATGTTGTATATTGTATATACTTCCTACTGTACTACATTAACTTCAATACAATTTTTATACAAATAACATCAATACTAATGGATGTTGTATGTGCAGTGTTAATACCTACCCTTTCAGAGAACAGAGAAACTCTGGGAGAAGGGTGATTCCTCTCAGTTCCACCAGATGGCAGTGATGACTCACCTTGGTCTCCCCCACTGAACCTACCACAAAATTACTATTAATTATTACTGGGTCAGGTTGTTCTGCGTGGTTCTCCAGGGCAGCTTCATCTACCTCAGTCTCAAAACCACATGTCCTTTGAATTATGTTAATCTTGTTCCTGTGGGTCCACACCATACGTCTGCAAAGTGTGCCCTGTGAACAACTTTCCAGTGACCGATAGACGACCAACATATGTCTGATTCTCTCCCCTTTAGTGTAAAATGTGTGCTTGTAATCCTGGATGAAACTTGTCTTAAATTTACCTCCACAAGGCTGATGTGGCTTTTTCTGCCCACATAGCTGTAACTAATCTCTGCGCTCCCCAACGTCTCTTTATTCCAGTCTGAGCAACTTATCAGGCTTAAGTTAACTAGCAAGCAAGAGTTAACCCAACCAGCAGAACCAAAAACTAGCAAGCAAGTTCATCTGTGTCCATCTTTCTGTGTGTCGGTTCTTTCAGTTGGTTCATCCAGCTGTCTTTGCCAGCGTACCGTGAAAACAACCTGCATATGTAGAGTAGAGATGTGCATTCCACTAATTTTGATATTCAGGGATCCATAACAGTAAAACAAAATAAGGTCAATAAAAGCTGCACTATCTCTGCCTTCTGAGTCACATCCTTAACAACGTCCAGACAGTTCTCAGACAGATCTGATCAGCAGTTTTAAGAGTTTTTTTCATTAAAACTTTGAGGAAAGTTTAATATAACATTCAATTTTAGTTTCATATGAACATTTCTTAACATTGAAAGGTAAAACCTAAACGTTTACATATGACTGTATGTGAGAACAGTATGTGATATTTTCTCCTTAATCTATGCTTTATCTCATTGAGTCATGTTAAAAGCCACTGTAAAATACTAGATATTGATTTCTATATTAATGTGCTCTGAAATCCTCCTAAAGTAACTCACCTTCCTCTTTTTCTACTCCGACAACTGCAGTTCAAATGTTTCAAATATTATTTAATAAACTCAGTGGCTTTATGTGCATAACTTCTTGAAGATTTGCATGTTTGACCAAACATGTTTGAGAACATTACAGTAAAGTTCATTTGCATCAGCTTCTTACCTGGAGATTTACTGCCTGACTAGTTCAGGTGGTATTTTTTATGGGCTGATATTCTGATATATTCTGCTATCGGCACATTGTTGAAGGATAACGGCTGTAGTGCTACAGATTATGCAAACTGTAAACACGCTGGTAATCCTCATACATGAATGAGAGAATAAGTTATTGAGGTGTTATTTACTCTTAGTGTAATTTGAAGTCTGGGTCATGGGGTCCTGATGCAAGACAGGCAAACATACAGAAGAAGCTTCTCCACTAAGTACATGAAAATAAAAACATATGATGAGCAGTTTAATCAGCATTTTTAATGGATTAGTATGATTATATTGATGTTTATGTTTCTGTGTTTGATCCTCTCAGGCTGAACTCCACAGAAACAGCACTGCAGATAAACACTCAGGTAGAGGAAACTGAAGACCTGCATCTGGATTCTTACCAACCAGTGAACGACGTCCTGAACAGAGTCTTAGAGACACACAAAACCAGCATGAAGAACAAGTACGAGTGCTTATTTGAGGGAATCAGAACTGAAGAGAATAAAACCCTCCTGAACAGGATTTACACTCAGCTCTACATCACAGAGGGAGAGAGTGAAGGAGTGAATGAAGAACATGAGGTTCTACAGGTGGAGAAAACAACCAGGAAACACCTACAAGACATTCCAATCGACTGCTTAGACATCTTTAAAGAAGAAACAGAAAAGAGGAACATTAGAGCTGTGAGAGCTAAACGTATCAGACAAAATGGAAGAAAAGAGGATGAAGAACCAAAACAGCAAAAGATCAAAACAGTTCTGACTAAAGGCATCGCTGGAATTGGAAAAACTGTCTCTGTGCAGAAGTTCATTCTGGACTGGGCTGAAGGAAAAGCCAATCAGGAGGTAGAGTTCATGATTGTGCTTCCGTTCCGGGAGCTGAACCTGATTAAAGATGATCAATACAGTCTTCATGGATTTCTGTGTGACTTCCATCCTGAGCTCAAAGATCTGGACCAAGAGATTTATGATCAGATCAAAGCTGTGTTTATATTTGACGGTCTGGATGAAAGCAGAATTCCACTGAACTTTGAAGAGTGTGAGAAAGTCTCTGACATCACCACGACATCATCAGTGGGAGTGTTGATGACAAACCTCATCAAAGGAGAGCTGCTTCCCTCTGCTCTGATCTGGATCACCTCCCGACCAGCAGCAGCCAATCAGATCCCTCCTAAATACATCAACCGTGTGACGGAGATTCAGGGATTCAGTGACCCACAGAAGGAGGAGTACTTCAGGAAGAGGATCAGTGATGAAGACCAAGCCCAGAGAATCATCTCCCACATTAAGACAGTGAGGAGCCTCCACATCATGTGCCACATTCCAGTCTTCTGCTGGATCTCAGCCACTGTTCTTCAGAGAATCATGAAACAGCCTCATACAGAAATCCCTAAAACTCTGACTGAAATGTACTCACACTTCCTGATCACTCAGACCAACATGAAGAACGAGAAGTATGAGGAGAAACATGAGAGAGACCAAAGGAACCTGCTGGAGTCCAACAGAATCATGATTCTGAAACTGGCTAAACTGGCTTTCAAACAGCTGATGAAGGGCAATGTGATGTTCTATGAAGAGGACCTGAGAGAGTGCGGCATTGATGTCACTGAAGCCTCAGTGCATTCTGGGATTTTCACTCAGATCTTTAGGAAGGAGAAATGTGTGCTTTTCCAGAAGAAGGTCTACAGCTTTGTTCATCTGAGCTTTCAGGAGTTTCTGGCTGCTGTTTTTGTGATTCACTGCTATGAGAGCAAAATCATGGAGCCCCTGCAGTGTTTAAAACCAAGTGAGAGAAAACCAGAGTTTTTTAACTCACAATACAGAGAGCGATCTAAGAATGATCCACTGGATGATCTGCTGGAAGGAGCAGTGAATAAAGCCTTAGAGAGTCAGAATGGACACCTGGATCTTTTCCTCCGTTTCCTGCTGGGAATCTTGCTGGAGTCCAATCAGGAACTCCTACAGGGTCTACTGACACACATAGAGAGACCACCAGAGAAAATTAAAGAGCACATTAAGCGCATAATAACAAATAGAAATGGACAAGATCACATCTCAACAGAGAGATCCATTAATCTGTTCCTCTGTCTGTCTGAAATGAATGACCAGACTCTCTTCAGACAGATTCAGGAGTATCTAAAATTAGAGAGACACTCAGAGGTGTATCTCTCTCCTGAACAGTGTTCAGCACTAGCTTATATGATCCTGAGCTCAGATGAGGTTCTGGATGAGCTGCACCTGAAGAAATACACATCATTAGAGGAGGGTTATAGGAGACTGATCCCAGCTGTGACCGTCTGCAGAAAAGCCATGTGAGTGTTATATCCACAAAAATGTAATGTCTGTTATATTTAGATTAATATAACTACTTATATTTGAATGTTGATGGTTTGTTATGACATGTCCAGTAAAAGTTTTAAAATAAATTTGAGTAATTTAGTGTTTAGGTTTTAGATTCTTTCAACAGGTGTATTTATTTTCCACTTTACCAGAAACCCTCCTTTGTAGCTTAACCTTGTTGGTGTCACTGGCAAACTGTAGCCCAGGGGTGCACAAGTCACAGTCCTGGAGGGTCAGTGTCCAGCAGAGTTTAGTGATTTACCTGCTCAGACACACCTGATTCAACTTCTCTGTTAATTGCCAGGTTTAGTAGGTGTGTTTGAGTCCCCTTTACGACTCTTCACTGTAACTTGAGGTAATGTGATATTTGTTGAAAAAATGTTTTAAAAGCTTGTTTTTAACATTTATGAGAAATACATTCCATAAAATCAACAAATGATATCGCATTGTGATTATAAGCAAAACCAGTAAACCAGCATGAGTGAAGGTATGTGCACAAAAGTCTCTCACTGACAGCAGAGCTATATTTTGTTCTGAATGTTTGAGAATAAAGAGCTATGAATATTACAGATTACTCAAAGCCAAAATAGGTAGATATTATTTTGATCAGTATTATTTGTGAGTGTTTTCTAGTCATTGTGTGCAATAATCTTACCAGCTCCTGAACAGGAACACACAAGTAGTAACAGCAGAGGTTGCAAAGTAGCAGTGTAGCATTAGATTCCAGCAGATGTGACTCCACATCTGTTTCATTTTTGTTTGAGTAGAAGCCAAATGTGTCTGAGTAAATTTACAGACATGCGTGAGAAGTTCACAGAATTCACCAACATGGTCCAGCTCAGTTGTTGAAGCTTGAGTTTCTGATACCGTACCAAGCTTTATGGTTTTGATTACTGTTCAAGATTGATACCAACAAGACATAATGGTATTGAAGGGTGGGGGACTAGCAGTACTGTTCACTGCTGACTGGTTAGCTGCAGGCACTACTCTCAATCCTCATCTTTCTTAGGGTTAGTTCTGCCACTCTCATGACCCTCTTTCAGGCATGTGCAAGAGAAACCAAAGAGTCTGAAAGATGGTAAATGATTATTCACATATAAAATAGTCATTACTTTAGAGTGTTTATGCATCTCAGTAAACAAAACAGAAAAACTAAATACTAAAGGCTAGACCTGAGTATTATTAAACCCAGTGATGGAAACTGAAGAATAAATAGCTCTGTTAGCTTAGTGCTAATATAACACTGCAAACACCATTAGGATGCGATCATAAATCAGCGTTATTTTAGTTGAGGATAAACAATGTTTACTTATGAAATACATGAGCAGTTTAAATAGCAATAATAGTAAATTAACTTATTTTACTCCTGTATCACAAACAACTTGGTTTGATCTCTAAGAAAGTGGGGATAATTATCCTAGGTCAGGGATCATTCAGCCAGATAAATCACATGCAAACCATATTGGTTACAAATAACTGGGTTGTTTATTAATTGGGATAATAATAATAACAATAATAATAATAATAATAATAATAATAAATCAATTTATATAGCACCTTTAATGAACTCAAGGATGCTTTACAAAGAGATCAGAAATTACTAAAATACATAATCAACCATAAATAAAACAACACAGAACACACTCACACACAAACTCCACAGTTCCCACAGCTTGCAGGGAGATTACAGTGACCATGGTATAGAGTCACTTAGCCGTGGGTTAACTCTCACTCCACAACTAAGGTGCATCATAGAGGCAGCCGGCCTGGGAAGCCTTGGTTTTGGGATTCCAGTGTCTCTCTTATTTTAAACATGCCAAAAATATAGAAAATTGCCTAAGAGGACTTGTAGTATTCTAATTCCACTCAGTTCACAGGCAAATCTAGTTAAAATATATATTTAAGGATTCAGTGTTAAGATGTAACATACAAAGAGAACAATGGGTTACATGAATGTCTATTAGAAACTTGTCTGTCTGTGTGTAGACTAGAACTGTGTGGGATTAAACCTAGTGTGGCAAAATGAAGAATATAAAGTATTAGCATGGTGCTCTATTGCAGGGTTTCAACTCCTGACATATCTGCGCATATATGTTAATAATTATTCACACAGTGAATATCATGAGTTTCATGGGCAGTTTTACATGTTTAATTTTTAATTATTATTTCATTGTGCAATCTTTCTTTACTTAAATGGACTGTTTTAATGTGATATGATAGAGCTTGTAGGCAAGACATTCAAAACAATATGGTTGCTGTCACTATAGTGAAGAGGTGCACCAGTGGAGACACTGAAAAGCTATAATGCTGCTTTGAATCCACAAACTGTACTGCTTTTAAAGTGGTGACAGATGGCCTAGAAGAACACACGGACACCATGACATCATACATCAGCTGCAATTCAACTACAGCATAGATAAAATAAAGCAATGGCAAACCCATGGTTTCAGCCAAGGATCAAATGGAAATGGAGGCAGTGTTCAGGAGTGAGGACAGAATTCTCTACAAAGAGACCAAATACAGGCTGGAGAGGTTTAAACAGCAAAGAAAAAATAGTCAGAGAAGATAAAGTTACATTGCTGCTAATGACCCACCTTTAATTGGAAAGTACTCCAAGAGATTAACAATAACGAGTGAGAAAAGCCCCCTTCTCTTGAACGACTGCCAGTCTACCAATGACCTGAATGAGCTCTGCTGCAGATTTGAAGATGTGCAAAGAACAATCCTCAGCTTTTCTCTCATATTCCCCTGCCCCCTCCTGCACCTCCACCTCTGCCCTGCACATCTCACCATCAATGAGCAAGATGTCAACAGGCTTTTCAGAAGACTAAAGTTGAGAAAACATCTGGCGGCAGATTTTGTCTCGCCTTCCACCCTAAAGCCCTACTGTGATTAACCCGCACCAATTTTCACAGACATCTTCAACAAGTCACTGGAACTTTGCTCTGTTCTTGGTGCTTCAAGATTTCCACCATTATGCCGGTCCCCCAGAAAAGAACACTGAAGGACTAAATGGCTACAAGCCAGTCGCCCTGACCGCTGCAGTCATGAATGTCTTTGAATGCGTAGTCCGAACTCATCTGAAGGCCATTACAGACTCATTACAAACAGGTCTGTTGATGATGTGTTCAACTTAGCCCTGCATTTCATGCTAAAACAGGCTGACACTCCTGGGACCTACGCTAGAGTTCTGTTTGTGGACTTCAGCTCAGCTTTTAATACAATAGTGTAGAATGACTACTAGTGGTGATCATGGATTTCCTGAATAACAGGAGATGGCAGGTGCAGCTAGGAAAAACATATCAGACACCCAGACCTTCAGTACTGGAGAATCAGTGGAATAGAAGTTTGTGTGCTCTCACCCCTTCTCTTCAGTCTCTACGCTAGAAACTGTGTTTCCAAGCAACCACCTGTGAAGAACCTGAAGTTTGTAGACGACACCTCAATACAATAGTGATGGGTTTGCCTACAAAAGGAAGTTGAGCATCATATCCAGGGACCTGAAATGGGAGAGGAACACAGTCCCCATAGCTAAGACAGTACAGCAGAGAATGTTCTTCTTGAGGCAGCTGAAGACCCAGTGATCCAGTTCTACACAGTGGTCATCGAGATCACTTCATCCATAACCATCTAGTTTGTTTTCCCCACATCTGAAGAACAAGCCAGCTCATAATCAAGTAGAGAGAATCATTGGACATAGTCTGCCAACACTTCAAGATCAACAACATCAGGGTCTTGAAGCCAACTGGCAAGATCACAGCTGAACCTTCTCACCCTGTACATCTCCTCTTACAGTCACGTCCCTCTAGTAGGAGATTCAGGGCTATCAAAGCCTATACAGCTAAACATGCTAATGGCTTTTTCCCCAGAGCTGTGGCGCTCACTAACTGTTGTGGACACCTTGCACTTTAGACTTAAATTGAACCTAACAACCCCCCCTTGCTGTATTGGAGTAACATCTCTGTACCATGATGTTTGTTCTTACAACTGTACAAATGTTCATTTTTACAGATCTTCATATTTTATGTAATACACTGTACATAATAGTTATTGTATTTTTTCTCTTAGATTCTGAAAATTAATGATCACGTATTATTCTCATTGGGCTCCTTTCACATTGGCTGTTTTATATCTTCTTTGTTGTTCCTTATTTCACTTGTTCTGTTTTTTATTATATTTGTTCCTTAGTTAAATGTCTGATTTTCTTTGATATATTTGTTTATAGTCTGTGCACTTCTCTGGCCTGTTTAGTTTTTTATTTACCTGACATATTCCTTGTATGTGGAATATACTTGGCAATACAAGTGATTCTGATTGTGGAAAACAAGGAGATGATGAATGTGTTTCTGACAGAGACATAATAATGATCATGGTCAGTTTACTGTATTTTTACCTGCCTGCTCTTAATGATGTACATCAGTGATGTTATGTGGTAAATCACACATGCATAGTGGAACTATATCTGGACCTCAGTTGGAGATCAATGGTTTGACAGTGTGAAAGTGTGAAAGGAAAATGGGGCACACAAAACTCATATAGATTAAACCAGTAAAGAGGGACTTTTAATTATTTGATACTTATTTTTCATTTTCAGATTAGCATCATGTAATCTTGACGACAAAGCTTGTGAAATTCTCAGCTCTGTTCTACAATCATCAAACTCCTCTCTGAAAGAGCTGGACCTCAATAGCAATTACCTCTATGACTCCGGAGTGAAGCTGCTCTCAGTGGGATTGAAGAGTTCACACTGTAAACTGGAAATACTGAGGTAACAAAATAATTACAAACTCTAATTAATTACAGTTTATTGCATTATTGTGTGTAGTTAATCACCATTTGCTGGTGCTTTTTGCAGCTTGTCGATTTATCCATAGTTCTTCTGCAAACACTGCCCAGTTTGGCTTGTCAAATTAGTAATATTGCCACATCAGTGGTACATTTTGCTTGCAAATGATGCTTGAAACTCAATGTACTTTGGTAGTAAATAAATTCACCACAGCAGTAACTGGAAATAACTTTTATAAAGAGAGCCATTAATGGAACTTGCTAACATTTATTTTCTTTGGAATATTTGTTAATATTATGTGCACTTCTCTGGTCTGTTTAGGTTTTTATTTACCTTAAATATTCTTTGTAAGTGGAACATACTTGGCAATACAAAGTGATTCTGATTGTGAAAAACAAGGAGATGATGAATGTGTTTCTGACAGAGACATAATAATGATCATGGTCAGTTTAGTCAGTTTTTACCTTCCCACTCTTCATGATGTACATCAGTGATGTTACATGGTAAAAAAATATACATAGTGGAACTATATCTGGACCTCAGTGGGAGATCAATGATTGGACAGTGTGAAAGTGTGAAAGGAAAATGGGGCACGTTGTCACAACCATATTCAATAATCAATGAATATATGTCTTTTTTAAATATTTTATTTATGAAAGTATTATGAAAGCCACAACACCACAACAGTATCTGGAAATAACTTTCATAAAGAGAGCCATTAATGGAACTTGCTAATATTTGTTTTCTTGGGAATATTTGTTAATAGTCTGTGCACTTGTAATTCTTTGATACTTTTTTGTCATTTTTAGATTAGCATCCTGTAATCTTGGTGGCGAAGCTTGTGAAATTCTCAGCTCTGTTCTGCAATCAGTAAACTCCTCTCTGAAAGATCTTGACCTCAGTAGCAATGACCTCCAGGACTCCGGAGTGAAGCTGCTCTCAGTGGGATTGAAGAGTTCACACTGTACACTGGAAGTGCTGAGGTAACAAAATAATTAAAAACACTAATTAATTACAGTTTATTGCATTATTTTGTGTAGTTAATCACCATTTGCTGTTGCTTTTTGCAGCTTGTCGATTTATCCATAGTTCTTCTGCAAACACTGCCCAGTTTGGTTTGTCAAATTAGTAATATTTCCACATCAGTGGTACATTTTGCTTGTAAATGATGCTTGAGACTCAATGAACTTTGATAGTAATTAAATTCACCAAAGCAGTAACTGGAAATAACTTTCATAAAAAGAGCCATTAATGGAACTTGCTAATATTTGTTTTCTTTGGAATATTTGTTAATAGTCTGTGCACTTGTAATTCTTTGATACTTTTTTGTCATTTTTAGATTAGCATCCTGTAATCTTGGTGGCGAAGCTTGTGAAATTCTCAGCTCTGTTCTGCAATCAGTAAACTCCTCTCTGAAAGATCTTGACCTCAGTAGCAATGACCTCCAGGACTCCGGAGTGAAGCTGCTCTCAGTGGGATTGAAGAGTTCACACTGTACACTGGAAGTGCTGAGGTAACAAAATAATTAAAAACACTAATTAATTACAGTTTATTGCATTATTTTGTGTAGTTAATCACCATTTGCTGTTGCTTTTTGCTGCTTGTTGATTTATCCATAGTTCTTCTGCAAACACTGCCCAGTTTGGTTTGTCAAATTAGTAATATTACCACATCAGTGGTACATTTTGCTTGTAAATGATGCTTGAGACTCAATGTACTTTGGTAGTAAATAAATTCACCACAGCAGTAACTGGAAATAACTGTCATAAAGGGAGCCATTAATGGAACTTGCTAACATTTATTTTCTTTGGAATATTTGTTAATATTATGTGCACTTTTAATTCTTTGATACTTATTTTTCATTTTCAGATTAGCATCCTGTAATCTTAGCAACGAAGCTTGTGAAATTCTCAGCTCTGTTCTGCAATCATCAAACTCCTCTCTGAAAGAGCTGGACCTCAGTAGCAATGACCTCCAGGACTCCGGAGTGAAGCTGCTCTCAGTGGGATTGAAGAGTTCACACTGTACACTGGAAATACTGAGGTAACAAAATAATTAAAAACACTAATTAATTACAGTTTATTGCATTATTTTGTGTAGTTAATCACCATTTGCTGTTGCTTTTTGCAGCTTGTCGATTTATCCATAGTTCTTCTGCAAACACTGCCCAGTTTGGTTTGTCAAATTAGTAATATTACCACATCAGTGGTACATTTTGCTTGTAAATGATGCTTGAGACTCAGTGTACTTTGGTAGTGAATAAAAAGAGAGTCATTTATTTCAACAAGAGGGCTGCAGTCACGGAGCAGCTGGGCTTCAGTCTGATATGGATAATTCAAAGGATCAAACTAGGAAAATGTGTTAATAAAAAATATATGTGGCAGTAATAATTTAACATTGTACATTCACACACACACACACACACACACACATACAGTAATATCATTCTTACTGGGGAAACATCTCTCCACATTTCCTCTCTCTCCACATCTCCTTTCAAATATTAGAGGGTTGAATTTGAGGAAATCTGATAGAGATTTGATGAAGAATTATGTGAACATTAAAATCTGATCTTTTCAAATCAGGTTTGATCCACTTTCATATTCAGTTCCTGATGATCACATATCCAATACAGGGCCATTTGGAAAATGTGTGCATGCATATCCTTTCAGGTCAGAGGTGTTTTCACACCAATGACAAGATATCGGTCACTTACAAACATGAGTGTAAACTTTCAGTGAAGAAAGACTGAGAAAAAAATCAGAACAGACCAGTAAAGCTTGTAATGTGAACACAGCCTCCTTTCAGTTTGGGGAGGCAGCACTGACTCGTTTGACTTTTAAAGAAGGTATTTTTTAAACTGTGACATTTGTGTTTACTTTGACACTAATACTGCTAGAATATTGGTTGCCCCCCCATATCAGCCACAATCAGTCAGATTGGGTTTTGACTCATCTTATATATAATAGTGGGGTGGAGCTGATAAAATGGACAATGAGTGTAGAAACAAGGAGGTGGTCATAATGTTATGCCTGATCGGTATATGATTCTGTATACAACCTTTTTGAAAATGGTTCTATATAGCACCAAAAATTTTTGTTCTATTTTTACACACTGGACATTGTATCAATAGAAGAACCATTTTGGTGCTATATAGAACCGTGTACAGCATATTCTCCATCAATATGAAGAACAGTTTCATCATGCAAAGAACCATTTAAGCATAAAATGGCTCTGCATAGAACCCATGGTTCTAAACAGAACCATTACCTTTACTAATGAATTCTTGAAGAACCCTCTTTTTTAACTATGTACGTTTGCAGTGACTAGTAGTAGATTTGTAGTAATTTTAAAAGAAAAATGTGATTTTTTTTACAGCAATCCTGTTGTTTTACTCGCATAATCAGAGCGTTCTGTGGTGTTCAGTCATCTGTGGTATTCTTACAGAACGTCCAGTGTCCTTGTTATAATTGCTAAGAAGTGCTTATTAAACAAAAGTAATTAAGACAGATTAAGACAATTTTAAGACAATTCAAACAAAACCAGACTGATATGAACAGATACAGAGCAGAACTTGTGGTTCAGTTTTTCTCCCCATCTCCAGTTGATGAACCCATAGACTGTAACCCAGAAACACACTCATCACTTAAATGACCATCTTTTCTCTGTACTGATGTCCATTATTTTCTATAATATAATGTCTCTTTACACTCCTCAAGCTGCCTCTTCACGTTGCTTTTGTGAAGCCGTTCCTTTAGAACAGACAGAAAAGACAAATACAGAAGATACAGATGAGTATCTGAATAAAACTGTCATGTGTGCAGTGACCAAGGAGGCTGGATGTACTTGTGAGCACACTTTAATAAAGAAAACAGACCAATAGAAACACTGAACACAAAATAACAAACTGCTAAACTTAACAAAGAAACACTGAGCAAACCAAACATGAGGCAGTCACACAACAACCACACCTAACAAAGTGATGAGTAGACCAGACAAACACTGACTGGAACAAAGGGCTTGATAAAGGCTAGAACGAACAGGGAACACCTGGGAGAGGGAGGAGACAGAGACTACAGACAGGGGAGGATCCTAACAGGGAAGGTGGGAAAAGGGGTGGGGCAAAGAACCAAAACAAAAAACACATGGCAGAAAGCACACGGCTACAAAACAGCAAGAAACAGACACAGGAACAAAGAGGAACTGTGACAAAAACATTCAAAGAGTAAAACACATTTAAAACATTTAATTGAATTCAGGAGTTTATTATAAGTGAACTGTACTAATACATTAAAGCTATAGCCTTGAATATTGGTGCCCTTTTCCTTTTATCAAAATGACCAAACCATCACTTGTAGTGAATAAACAGACCACTGACATTTTAATTAGGAAGATTAGATGCACTTTTGGGCAATAAGTGAAAGTTAGTCTTATATTATGCTGGTTTATTTGTTCCACCTACCAAAACACTTCAACTGGCTTAGATTCTGCTGCACAAAAACAGAGCATCTCATCTGTCAGTACTCCAAACATTTATTAGCTTCAGCTGCTCCCTGAACTGCTGAGATGAGACTGTAGACATTAGAGCTGTAGACAGTGGTGAAGCTGAGCGGTCAGTCAGTATTTACAGCTCTTCAGCTGCTCCCTGAACTGCTGAGATGAGACTGTAGACATTAGAGCTGAAGACAGTGGTGAAGCTGAGCGGTCAGTCAGTATTTACAGCTCTTCAGCTGCTCCCTGAACTGCTGAGATGAGACTGTAGACATTAGAGCTGTAGACAGTGGTGAAGCTGAGCAGTCAGTCAGTATTTACAGCTCTTCAGCTGCTCCCTGCACTGCTGAGATGAGACTGTAGACATTAGAGCTGAAGACAGTGGTGAAGCTGAGCAGTCAGTCAGTATTTACAGCTCTTCAGCTGCTCCCTGAACTGCTGAGATGAGACTGTAGACATTAGAGCCGTAGACCGTGGTGAAGCTGAGCGGTGAGGCTGCTGTCCTCTCAGGCAGATGGAACGGGATAATTTGAACAAGAAACTGGCGAATAGGAAGCCGACTTCAGCCTTTTCTAAATCACCATGTCAGAAAATGCTACCAGTATTAAAATTACAGCACTGATGTGTTGATAGCGGATCATCCTGTCAAAAAGCACTACATTCAGATACGAAGTGGGAGCTGCACAGACTTTCACTGCCTTTGGGACCATCAGGACCCCAATCCACCCTTTTGATGGATCCATTATCTTCTGCGATGTTTAGTAAAGGGATGTGACCCCTTCGGATATTAAATATTATCCAATCATCTTCTCTGCAGTTGCAGTTTACTGCACTAAAACCCCTAGTCATTGTTGCTTCATGTCATAAAGAGAGCTGCTTTCTGTTGATTTCTGAAGTTGTGCTTCTCTGTGATGTTGCACAGAAACTCATCTATACAGCAGCTATGGTTAGCTATCTTCAGTTAGCGTTTACTTAGCTTATGTTACCTATCAACAGACATTTCGGCTAATGCTAACACACAAACTATGCAGTTCTCACCTCAGTGCAAAAAAATAATGAAGATTTTAGTACTGATGTGTGTTTAAAAAATAAAGATTTGGCACTCAGCCAGTATAAAACACTGAGGCTGGTCACTCACTGAAGTGCCTGAGTATTGTTAGGAGATGCGATGTGTCTCACACGTTTAATACAAACTAAAAAATTACTCACTGCTGAGTGGCTGTCTAACTAACATTAGCTCTGTCAGCTGCATCATGTCCATTCAAGAGGCACATACCCACCAGATTTCTGATATTTTTTGTAATAATTTGTAATTCATTTTTGTTTTATGACTCAAACATGTTCTTCTAATTATACCATAAATCATTCCTCAGAAAGTCACACACCTTACAGTTTTGGTTTCTTCCAAAAGTTATAGATGAAATCAGTTTGCAGCAGCAGCTACAGACGCACACAGCACTCTGCACATCAGTGCTGAGCGGCTGATGAACGATGTGCTGCTGTAGTGGTTTGTAGAGCATCAGTCCCTTTTTCAAAAGTGTGGAAATTAAATGCAGTTAGTTTTACACACTTAGGTGCATTTGAGAAATATAGGCATAGTTTGCTTTGCAAGATAGTTGTCTATGGCTACTGCCAGCTAATGTTAGTGATAGCATAGCACCCTGCTTAATAAAAGTAAAGCAAAGCTGTGTGCAGTGAATTGTGTTTGAAAATGCCACTCTTTCCATGCTGGCAGTTTCCTTTCATCTGTGGCTTTATTGTTTATGTTTTCTATATCAGTCTGGATTGTGGATTTAGTCTTTTTTATGTGAATTACGCTTCTTTTGGTGGAAGCAGACAGGATTTAGTTATTTACTGTATATATATGTCAAGTTGCAGAAACTGCATCATTCTTTTCTCTTTTTTTCTGGGAAGGATCCCCAAGTACCTGCTTTAATTGTGACCCCAAGCTCTGTAATTTTCCTGTCAAAAAGCTGCTAACAAAAAAACACTAAAATATTAAATTAGATGTAGTTAGCCAGCTGACCTGTTACATCCACTTTTTATCCGAGCTTTTTTTAATCACTGTATCAGATGTACAGAAAGGTATTAATACTGTGTTTAGGTCTTCAGTAAAATATTAATGCTGTAATATGTGATATATTTCACAAAATGTATTTAAAATCTACACTTCTTATACACCTCTATTTCTTGTGTTTACTTTTCACTTGCGATATTTTTCTATATTTCAAACTGAAATGAAAGATTAATCTCCCTAACATAATTAAGGATTTGTATATTAATTAATTTAATTCAATCATGATACAAGACATTCAAGATACACAGCTTTAGAAAAATATGGCTTCTTTCTTATTTCACCTCAGATAAGCTCTAACTCAGAATTATGTCGTATTTTGAATTTACAATCTCTGTTGATAAATGCCACAAAAATGGGCAGGTGGCCTTTTTATACACAAGGTTAGTAATTGTTTGAGGAGTTGTATGATAATTTAGGTGTATTTATTTAATCATTTACAGTAATAGCCCAAACTATTCAGGGAGGCCATGTGAATGTTACTGTGTATTCCATGTTTTATATGAGAATGTATATTTCACAGAACTAAATACTTTCTGGTTTTGTTCTGTACTTATAGCTGTGTCATCTTTCCCTCTTTTACCTTAATTTCTGCAGATTGTCTGGTTGTATGGTGACAGATGAAGGCTGTTCTTCTCTGGCTTTAGCTCTAAAATCAAACCCCTCCCACCTGAGAGAACTGGATCTGAGCTATAATCACCCAGGAGAGTCTGGAGTGAAGCTGCTCTCTGATCTACTGGAGGATCCACACTGCACACTGGAGAAACTACAGTGAGTTACTGACGTACTGTCTCTGTACACAGACTGACTGAATTATACACATTATACACATTATTAAATGGTATATTATCATATGTTATTATATATATATATATATACATATATATATATATATATATATATATATATATATATATATATCAGATACTTTTATTGGCACAATAATAATAATAATAATAATAATAATAATAATAATAATACAGATTGTTTAATTGACAGTAGGAACAAACAGTACTGATATTGATATAAATAATTGATAATAATAATTGATATAAACAAGTATTCTGTCAAGAAATGTCGTTCCTTCAGATTATAGTGTCATTGTCAAGCAACCATGGACTGTTGAATGAGGAGAAGAATGTTTGGTCTCCCATCGCTGTTCACTGCAGTCATTTCATAAACTTCTTAACTTTTTGTTGTATAATAATGAACATTAATCAGCAATGTTTAATGCAGAAACCTTCAGTTTATAAGTACCAAAGTACCACCACGAGTCTTATTTAGCACCAATCCAATCCTCCTCTTCTCACGCTGGGGCTGAATATCAAATGGCCCTTGCTCCCTACATAGTGCACTATGTAGGATACTGGATCCTGTAGCCCAACAGAGAATAACACAGCTAATAAACAGTCATTTGGGATTCAGTCTCATCCATACTCAACAAATAATCACTCTTTGGCTGCAGAAGCTAGAATTTCTAAACATCCCTAGCGCACTATTTAGGGAGTACAGAGCCGTTTGAGACTCTTTTTGGATTTGATGCGGCTTCTGACTGAAACACAGATGTCTGAACTGCTTAAGACAATCAAATGATATTCTTTAGACTTTAAAATTGCAGTTTTACAGTAAATCATACTGTAAGTGCTTTAATTCCAGCCTGTGATATTAATGATGGAGCTGTTTAGGCTGTTGGCTCTTTTAGCCTGTTAGCTAGCTGACCAGCCTAGTTCTGGATGAGAAAATCAGTTGTCAGTTTCTAGGTTTAAACAGAACCAGGTTCTTACTTCATCAGTACACTCGGTGCTCTGTGTGAGCATTGTTAGAGTCAAAGATTATTCCTTTAACAGCACAAGGGTTTTTCGTGCTGTGGTACAGTGATACAGACTTCAGTCATAGCGGTGCATATATCATGTATTTTACAGTGCCTTTGAACACGGCTCAGCCAGATTGTAGGACCAGAACTATCCGTATAAAAACAGTGATTTTACTTTTATCTGCACTATAAGGTTCGAGGCCTAATTTCTACTTTAAGTGTGTGCATGATATGTCACAATATTTATTATTCATGACATTTGATCAGTTGGCAAAGGCAAAATAGGGCCATATTTAATGTATAATGATATGAATGCCACATTTTACACACTGAGTTGCCCTAAATCTAATTAAATAGCACTAATTCTGCTCATTATAATGACGTTTTCTGTACTGACGATTTACACCACACACTGAGAAAAGTTTACTGAGACATTATTGATCATGATAACGATAAATAATGTAATATTGTCCAGCCCTGTTTACACGTGTGTGTGTGTGAGTGTGTGTGTGTGTGTGTGTGTGTGTATGAGAGGGAGAGAGAGAGAGAGAAAGAGAGAGAGAGAGAGAGATGTAGTGAAAGCAGAAACAGAGGAGAAATCTGTTCTCTGAGTGATTTAATTTCTGAATGTGATGTGTAAGAATGTGTTCAGAACAAATATGTGTGTGTGTGTGTGTGTGTTGTTCAGGGTGGATCATGGAGGGAAGATCAGGATGAAGCCAGGACTGAAGAAATGTAAGATACACACACACTCACACACACACACACACACACACACACACCTACACACACACACACACCTACACACACACACACAACCACACACTCCTATACACACACACACACTCACACACACACCTACACAAACACACACTCACACACACCTACACACACACACACACACACCTACACAGACACACACACAACCACACACTCCTACACACACACACCTACACACACACAGACACACACACACCTACACACACACACACATATAAACACACAACCACACACACACACGCACACACCTACACACACACACTCACACACACACCTACACACACACACACACACATATAAACACACAACCACACACACACACACACACACACACACACCTACACACACACACTCACACACACACCTACAAACACACACACACACCTACACACACACACAAATATAAACACACACAAACACACACACACACACACCTACACACACACACTCACACACACACACACCTACACACTCACACACACACACACACATATAAACACACACAAACACACTTTGTCTCTATTAAACACTGTGTAAACATCTGTGTGTGTGTGTAACTGTGTGTGTGTGTGTACAGATGCTGTTGATCTCACTCTGGATCCAAACACAGCGTATAGGCGTCTCTCTCTGTCTGAGAGGAACAGAACGGTGGAGTGGGTGAGAAAAGATCAGTGGGTGGATGAAGATCAGTGGGTGGATGAAGATCAGTGGGTGGATGAAGATCAGTCATATCCAGATCATCCAGACAGATTTGATGACGAGCCTCAGGTTCTGAGTGTGGAGAGTCTGACTGGACGCTGTTACTGGGAGGTTCAGTGGAGCGGAAGAGGAGCTGATATATCAGTATCATACAGAGGAGTCAGGAGGAAAAGAGACAGTGTTGACCACGAGTGCTGTGAGTTTACAAGCAATAATGAGTCCTGGAGTCTTCAGTGCTCTGAGGACGAATACACTGTCTGGCACAATGGACATGGAACTGGCCAACATGTCCCCCCCTCTAACAGAGTAGGAGTGTATCTGGACTGGGGGTCCGGCACTCTGTCCTTCTACACCATCTCACCTAACACGCACACACTGACCCACCTACACACTCTCTACACCACATTCACTGAGCCGCTCTACGCTGGATTTGGAGTTTATTCTGATTCCTCAGTGAGACTGTGTGAGATAGAATAACTTCTACACAGAGCCTCAGAAACTCAGCCCATCACAGCTCTTAGGCTCCCTTCTCATCTGAGTGCTTTAACAATGAGCACAGTGCTCTGTTAGGACCGCCAGAGCCTGCTGTGTGGAAGGAGCCCGCCTACAAGGCCGTCTGACCAATAGTGGCTGAGCAGCAGAGGCTCTAGCCAATCAGGTTCTAGGCCACTCCGTACGGACAAGTAAGGAGTCCGCTTTGCTGCCCGAGCGCCGCCCCCAAACAGAACCACCGTTTCTGACTGGCTGAAACCTCCGTCAGTTAAAACACCGAGCTTTGCCCGCGATGGACTGAAATTCCCCCACCAATCAATACAAGTACAGGATCAGTGCAGCAACAGTGACGCCATACGAAACAACTCGCTCAGAAAACGACAACCGGCCGCTAAACGAGTTTAAAATGCGGAGACACAGCAACACAACATTCACCACACCCGCTGCTGCAGCACAAACCGCGATTACCGCTCAAAAAGCACAGAGTTACCACACAAACCACACAATCACCACAACACAAACCTGCACATCGCAAAGAAGCACAACAAGCTCACACTGCGCAGCGGCAGCCCTTAAACCCGCTCTCCTCTCCTTATGAAGACTAAAGCACTGGACAATGGCTGAAGAGTGACCATTACATCCGCAATAAACCCAACGCTGAACAAATCTGACCAAATGAGGACAAATAAGCTGCAAAAGTGGCGATTTACTAAACCAAAGCGCTGAAGTTCATTAAAGCAGGTAGTTTAGCGATTTTTGAACAGGAGAACGAGCCTGTTTACGCACGACTTGATGCTCTGAATCTAGGAATCGATTCTTGAACTCCTTTCCATCACTAGCGAATAGCTGAATATAATGGACTCCTGAAGATGACTCGATTGAATCAACAGAATCGATTCCATTGTCTGAGACTCTCTGTCATTGGTGAGAGTCTCAGAGAATTGAATTGACCCTGTTGATTCATTCGAGTCGTTTCCATCCAGTATATCCACACTGTACCGAGTCAAACTCTGTTTTAGTGATTAGTGAGTCTTTAGTTCAGAAAAGAGACGCTGTTAATTATGTTGTTCATTGTTTTGTTGTTTAAAAAAGGACTGCAAGTTGAATTCCAACAGTAATTCAGCTCAAATAATGCTGTATATATATATATATATATATATATATATATATTATATACCACATCTCTGCTGAGGTGGTTGGCGTTATGTATATATGTATTATGTATGTATTTACCAGACACCTGATATTGCTGATTATTAGAAAAATTAATAGACATTAGTTAAAGTTAGCAAACACTGGCTAATGTAAATAACACCACGGCGTGTGCAACATGTTCCTGAGAGATACTCAGTTGTTCATGTTCTTGTATTGTATTAGCTAGGAATAAAGCGAGGGGCAGCTTACCAAGGCTGTGATTCTGGTCATGTATTTGATGTGTTATTTACATATAAGATACACGTGTGTACTTACAAAACCTTTCTTCCACCTAAGCTCAGGACCTTCACCCATCAGCATAACCAGAGTTTCATCCACAGATTAATGATCCTGTATGATCAAAACCACTTCTGTTCTGTGTTGTTGTCGGCTACTGTGTCATTTAATGAATGGAAAAATCTATCACTTGTTCACCAAATTAAAGCTGCCGTATAGATAAGGCCGTGTCTCCTTGACCTTTGGGCCTAGGGTCACCAAAGTGGTATATGGTTAGTGGCCTTCTGGGACAACAAAATGTTTCAAGTTTGGTAGCTCCATGACCGTCTCCCCCCCACCAGACCTCATAATGTATATTTTGCCCACTCACAGACTAGGACCCAAAATACAGCTGCCATATGGATAAGGCTGTGTCTCCTTGACCTTTGGACCTAGGGTCATCGAACTGGGATATGGTTTGCAGCCTGTTGGGACGACAAAATGTTTCAGGTCCACTACCTTACCCCACCTCGATAGACCTCGTAATGCATGTTTTGCCCTCTCACTAACTAGGCCCCAAATTACAGCTGCCATATAGATAAGGCCATATGTCCTTGACCTTTGGGCCTAGGGTCTCCAAACTGGGATATGGTGAGCTGCCTGTTGTGCCAATAAAATATGCTGGTTTTGGCAGTTCCATGACCTTCCCCCACCTCAACAGACCTCATAAAGTATGTTTTGCCCACTAATTGCCTAGGCCCCAATTACAGCTGCCATACAGATAAGGGCGTATCTATTAGACCTTTGGGCCTAGGGTTATCAAACTCAGATATGGTTAGCATCCCAGTGGGATGACAACATCCTGCCTCACAAGGGCCCTGTATGTATGTAGTTGGAATCGGGACCTCTGCCTTTTTGTAGAATGGTTAAGGGAAATAATTACAAAGTGTCAGATGATGTACCAAAGTGTCTAAACCCCATTAACAAGGTCATAGTGCTACAAACTGTAGCATGTTGGTCAGCTGACTGTCCAGATGATTATGACACAGTTTCAAAGACCCAGGACTTTGTTTAATGGGATTTAGACATTTTGGTAGTCCATCTGCCACGTTGGTGCTCTCTTTCCCTAATGTTTAGTTAAAAAAGGATTATACGCAAATTTGAAGGCATATTCTTGTTTTCACAGTCTCTTGATCATTACAGTGGAGTTAGGTGGTCAAAGTGTCAGGAGAAAGGAGTACCAAAGTGTCCTGAGAGTACTAAAATGGCACGTGAGCACTGCTTCTGGCAGTGGGCCAACACTGGAATCCCATAGGACTCAATTCAAAGAGAACCAAAGTGTCCAAAGCCCATAGAGGCCAAGTCCTAGACCTAGATCTGGAGCGAGGGAGCCAGACCGGGTCAGGACTCAACGTGTGAGGTCAGAATGACATGTCAGGTGACATATTGGAGCACTGGACCCCTAGGTGGGTGGGAACACTAAGTAGCTTTGGGGAGGGGCTAGAGACACGGGACCTGCATATATGCACTTTGCTCAAGCCCCTCAGCATATATGTGGCCCTCACATTTTTTCAAAGTGATAAGGGAAAGGAGTGCCAAAGCATCCTGGAAGTACCAAAGTGGCCTGAGAGTGCCAAAACTTGCCCATGAGCACGTTTATGGCAGTGGGCCAACCCTGAAATCCCTCAGGACTCAATTCAAAGAGAACCAAAGTGTCCAAGCACAGCATCCAGAAGTACAGAAAAGCGTTCAGAGGATGTGTTCAGAGAAAATACAGGCCAAGTCCTGGGCCTATATCAAGGCTGAGAGACACTGTACCTATGCAGATGTGCTCGGCTTGAGTCCCTGAAAGCCTTTCTTGTGTTGACGTTGCGTTTAACCATTTTATTCTTAATGTTAGGGGAAAAGAAGTACTAAAGTGCAGGAGTTTGTCACACCTTTTATCTTAGGCCTCTGCCAAAGGCCAAAGCACTCTAAGGCCTGTAGCCCATTGAACCTAAACCTTCGAGTACCAAACTCAGACTCCTACAACCTCGAGTTCCCTTTGTGAGCTTGGAACACCTACATGGAGTAGTTCTAGGGCTGATCTTAGATCAGGTTCCTTTGTACTTTTGGTCATGATTACCAAAACAGATTCTAGATCAGCTCTTCTCTGCTGAGCTGGTTTCTGTATGCAGACTCTGTACCATTGCTAGAGTTTGACTCCAGTATTAATATTATGTATTATTTTAGTGCTATTGGCATTACGTATATATGTATTATGTATGTATGTATTTACCAGACACCTGATATTGCTGATTATTAGAAAAACTAATAGACATTAGTTAAAGTTAGCAAACACTGGCTAATGTAAATAATACCAGGGCGTGTGGTATATAAGATACATATACATATACATTTACATATAAGATACACGTGTGTACTTACAAAACCTTTCTTCCACCTAAGTACAGGACCTTCACCCATCAGCATTGGCCAGGAATAACATGCTTGTATACAGATTTTTGATCAGACATAAGTTTCTGTGTGGCAATTATATTTATTTATTTTCTTATTTACTTATTCATTTAGCAAAATTTCTTATAGGAATCTATGCCATGCAAAAGTTTGTATGTCACAATTTTTATACAAATACTCAATGAACACTCATGCCATAACTACAGCAATACTACAGCAATCACTTAGCAACACCCTAGCAAACATCTGGGTTACCTAACAACATCCTAGCAACCACCACAATTACAGGGTAGCAACAACTTTGCAAACATGTATGAGGCACAACAATGTATAAAAGACTGAAGCACAAAAACCTTCACAGGATCAATTTGGTACATACAGTTTAGCAGTTTACCGGATGCTGACTTAGGCCTAGACAACAACATAGGCAAGATAACAAAGGCACTGAATAGACTTTTAGCCATTATAGGCTGAACAAGATACTTCAGCCAATTTCACTCACAACTACAACTGGTCATTTTAGTTGTAGAGGAAATTACTTCCAGTGAACAGTGAAGGTTTGAGACTCAGAGTTAGAAGTAGTCACAATCTCTGTTTTAGGCTCAGGATTAGCCAGAGAGGTCATAGGAATACAGTTTAGTTTGGACTCCAGGGCAACATCATAGGACAAAACTGGTGCTTCCAGTTCAAGCAAGGTGTCATTCTCCAGGGTGACGTTTGGTGGGGTCCAAGCCACAGTGCAGAGGCCCTGGCTCAGGTAAGGGGCTTCAAAGGAGTAGGAGTTTGGTGTCAGGTACTGCTGCTGTTCATACTTGCTGTAGTAAGCTGGGTCAGAGGAGGGCTGGTCGACAGGGTTGTAATAGGAGGCATCAGGCATTCCTGCATGTAATGAGGACTTACATATTCTCTCCAATCACTTTTGAACTCCCTCCCCACCCCCCACACACAAAGTATCAATGTATGTCTAGACAAGGGTGACTGTGGAACAAGTTTAAAAGTATTATTCATCAAAAGATTCTTTAAAAAATTATACGGCTTCTAGTTTCCCAATACAGCTGAAATGTACTATTTATATATATCACATATTGTATATTGTACATTTAAACATAGGCTACAGTCATGAAACAATGAAGTTCTTGATATCATTTAATCAAAGTTGGAAAACGTTCAGCTTTTCATTTTGTCAAATTGTTAAATATCAAGAACTTCATTGTTTTATGACTGTAAGCTATGCTTAAATATACAAGCCCAGTGAAAATAATCCATATTTGGTGCAGAATCATTCCTTATTGTTTAATTAATAATATTTTTCATAACATTCATAATTTCACAGAAGTGCAGTGTTTAATTCCATTGAAGGTTTCAATGCTTTAAATAATGTTGACCCAGAAGTGATTTATAGGTGAACCACTCCTTTAACTGATGCTGCTTTAACCTTAATTCCAGCCATCTTCAAATGAGAAGCTGATTCGTTATTTGAACATACAGCTCGTTATGGAAAGCTCGATTCGTTCTTGTTGAACCGATTCTTTCGAACTGCTTCTTTCAATTCGAATAGACTCTATCGAACTACTGCACTATTTAAGGTGGGATGGCAACATTTGAAATACGCAGCTGGCGAAGTAGAAGCCAACTTCAGCTTCTTAGAGCACGAGGTAAGTTAATGAATCGGCTGAATCGGGCGTTGGATTCATTGAACAGAATAGTTCGAAAGAACCGATTCAGTAAAATGAATCAAACTTCCTATCGCTACATACAGCGCTGGTCCTTATCGAGAACCAGATCCTATTGTTGCAAGGTCAATTGCTTCAAGAGGTCATTCCTGCCCCTGCAATCACACTGTGTAATGTGATATAATGTCTCTCTGAGAGACAATATATAATACAAATTATTTCATTTTGCACAGAAAGAACCATAGGCATATATTTTACGTATAATAATATAATATTTTATATATATTTTATTTATTGTTTTAGCTATTTGTGTGATTTTGTGGTTTACATGAATTGCTGTTACGACACCCTAATTTCCCAAAGCTTTTAGTTTACAAAATATGTTACCTTTAGAAACATACAAGAGCATAAGTGTTCACAATGCAAATAGTGATGGGAAAAATATGTTCATCTTTTGTTAACCAGAAAATGTTGATGACCATCAGGCAGGTGGCACACTTTTGTAAGG